TCACCTCAGCCTCCCAAAGGCGTGGGATTACAGGCTGAGCCACCGAGCCCGGCTTACTATGTAGCTTACATATGTGTTTAGTTTTTGTTTCCCTTTCTAGACTGTGAATTCCTTTACTACTGTTATAACTCAGACTATAATAATGCCTGACACTCAGTAGCTGATGGTACTCAGCAAATGTTTGTGGAATGAAGAGATGGATGCTTTTGATTGACAAGTGTCAGATCTGTCTCACTCTCAACACTGAGCTGATAGTGACACAGATACGTGCCAGTCTGTGACCTCTCATCCCAGGCCTGAGACACCTGGTAAAGAAAGGTCAGTCCCACACTGGAGAGGGCTTGAGCCCACCTGGGTAAACCTAGATCCAATAACATCCCAAGACCCAGGACTACTGGCTCTACCCACAATCCTAAGTGTTGGCTGCTGCTGTGGAATTCCCCCAAGCACCTCCTGTACCTCCCACCCCCCCATCCCAAGAGGGTCCCATCTCACCAAGGTGTGTGTTATCGCCCGGTTTTCTCTTAATGGTACTCGCTGGGCCAGACCAAGGGAGGCTACTCCTCCTTCATCTGAGTGAGTGACAACCTCATGTTCTCCTTTAGGGAGAAAGGAAGCTAGGAAGAAATGAGACATTTGCTGTAGCATCTAGAACATCCACCAAAGTCCGGCACAGGACTTTGTAACCACTGAAGAGGTTATACCAGCTTAACAGCCCCCACTGCACCACTGGGGCAGGGACCCATCCAGCATCCCCTCAAAGCCCAACACCATCTGAGTAAACACTTATTAATCTGAACACCTGAGTGGGCTGGGAGTGTGGTGATAGCTCCCAGGGGTTGGGGTGGAACAGTGAGTAAAGGTGAATATTGCAGGAAGTGGCAGGGAGAGAGGAGAAATGGGAACCATCTACTTTGACACAAGTCAGCCAAAATCTCTGGCCTATCCAGATTGTCTTTTCCTCTCCTGCTCCTTCTGATCTAGCCTCCTGCCCTCCCCAGTTGCTCACCCCTCTCTCAGCCTCCTGAGCTTTCCCTTATCTTGCTCCTGGCTACAAGTAGTTCACTTGCCCTTGTTCTTTCCCCACAGCTAGACACACTCACCAGACTGGACTGGGGTCTCCAGGAACAATCCTGAGGCTTGGCTCACTGAAGTCCTGATGACAGTAAGGACAGCAGCTAGCAGTCACTGAGTCCCAAACATGAGCTAGACATGTACTAAGTGCTTTACAAACATCATCTCATTTCATTCTCACAACAGCCTCGAATGATGGTACAAACATTATCTTCACTTGACAAAGAAACCAAAGCTCAGAGAGGTTAAGGCAAGGTGGCACAACTAGTGAGTGAGAAGAGTTGGAAGTTGGTTGGGCTTGGTGGCTCAGCCTGTAATCCCAGCACTTTGGGAGGCCGAGGTGAGTGGATTGCCTGAGCCCGCGGGTTCGAGACCCACCCGGGCAACTTGGCGAGACCTGGTCTCTACAATAAATCAAAAATTAGCCGGGCGTGGTAGTACGCGCCTGTAATTCTGGCTACTTGGAAGGCTGAGGCGGAAGGATCGCTGGAGCCCAGCAGGTTGAGGCTGCAGTGGCTGGGAGTGTGCCACTGCACTCTAGTCTGGGCAACAGAGTGAGACTCCAACTCAAAAAATAAAAAAATAAAAAAGAGCTGGAAGTAAACCCAAATCCTATTTACTGCCTCAGTTTATGTTCTAGTCATTAAACAAAAGAGATAGCACATTTCTCTCTTCCTTGTACCCCCAGGGACTTGAGGAAATGGATGTGCCAGTTGAGGGAGTAACCTCACCCTGAACAGTCACAGGTTTTTCCCCTCCATTCCTAGGTTGGTGGGGAGTCCCTAAGCTACAGTCACAGGTTTCCCCCCTCCATTCCTAGGTTGGTGGGGAGTCCAGGGCTCAGCTCTGGGGGACCCTTGTATAATATCAGACACTGGTTCATTCTTTTCTAAATAACATTCTCCCACACCCTCTCCATCTCACCGGCTGCTGCCACCTGTGTTTCTTCTTAGCTCCTGGAAACTGGGGTGTGTGGAGGGGTGAAAGGAAGATCCTGAAGATGAAATCTGATCCATAAAAACAGTCAGAGGTGGGCCCCACCACCAGCCCCCATCTCCCCACAATCCCTTGGCTCTCCCAGGGCCTAGCTCTGTCCCTGGAAGGATCTCCCAGAAGCACTGGGTATCAGCCCCTCAAGGATACTCACCACAGTCTGCAGTCTCTGGGGGCACAAAGTCCGGCCTCGAGGTCCTGATCCCTCTAGCCTCGAGAAGCAGGAAGCCCTGGCAGGGTCCAGTCTGTGGGTGGGGGTTCTGGGGGCCAAATATGCAGAGGCCCGAGTGCCCTGGGACACCAACAGAGGCTGTCAGCACAGGCTCAGGCTTCCCTCCTCAGCCCACTCCAGCCTGAGTTCCTCACATCCTGGCCCATTACCTGGCCCCTCCGGATGGTGCCTTCCTGATTCCCTCGAACCAGTACTCTCTGAGCCAGACTGGGCCGGCACCCCAGGTGGCAGCTCTTCACCCCCTCACCTGACAAAATGGTGGCCAGAGCTGCAGGATCAGCCACAAATTCTATGGCTCCTGGAGCCTCTGCAAGGAAGAAGGAAAGGTGAGATAGAACAGAAAAGGAGAAGGCTGAGGGGTTGGGACCCTAGTATAATCACCTTGAGGTGCAAGAGTGAGCAAAACAGATTCTTTCAATTGAACTCCACTCACCCAGTGTCCACAGAACTTTACATAAGGCACTCTTCTAAGCACTGGGGCCCAAAGATGAATAAGACAAACCCCCTATCTTCAAAAAGCTATCATCAAAACTATAGGGAGGTAACATTAAATCCAAAGTACAAACATGTTATAAAAGAAGTACTCCAAAGTATTAGGAGAACAGAGAAAATTGATTGTAATGGGAGAGCTGGAAAAGGCCTCAGAAGAGATGACATTTTCCTGAAGGAAGGGGAAGGCTTCTAAGAGCAAAGAACTTTCCAGGAGCGGGGACCAGGACTCTTACAGTAAGCAGGAGACCCAGAATGTATAAAGCTCCAAAACCCCACTGTGCCCTTCCCAGTCCCCTACTCAGTCATGGTGGCTGTATTCAGGCCTCCAATAGGTACCTGTCTGGGTAGGGGGCCCAGGCCCCATATTCTGACTCCCAGGGCTAGGCCTGAGCTCTTCCAAGGGGTTGCGGAGCTGAGCGATCCCCACCAATTTTTGTGATGTCTCTGTTTGGTGCGTGGCTTTCAGCTTGGGTCCTGCTGTGTCAACGAGGGGGCGTTGAATACTGGGCGGTGGTTTCTGCACCCATCTCTGGGAAGGCAGGGAGGACAAAAAGCTGGGGTTCAGCGTTGGGGTATTGCTGGTGTGTGCTGGCTCCTTGTAACTACTGTCTTCACCCACCAGTAACCTCTTACCGTTGGATCTTGATTCTCCTGGTCTAGAGCGCATGGTTTGACCGTGGGTAAAGGCGGGCATTTCTTGCGTACCGGAATCTTGCTAGGGGTGGGAGATACACCCCGGAAGCGAGGATCCTTCGTGGTTTGGAGGGTAGGGGTGGTCATGATGGCTACAGTTGAGACGGGGAAGAAGACAGACAGGATTGGGGATCAAAGGTTAACCAGTTCTTGGTGCACCGGTCCTTCCACCCTTTATACCGTTACCCAAATCCAAGCGCCCACAAGCCCCCGGAACCTGCAAGGCCGCTGTTCTGGATACCACCTTCAGACACCCCGAACCTACTCTTTTGCCCATGGGCCCCGAACTGTTCTTCTCCCTATGAGCCCCCAAAGTCCTCATTCCCTTAAGATCCCCGGGCCGCACCTTCCCGGGAACCCCTCAGGGTCGCCCCGGCTTTCTTCGCTTTTCTCCCCTCGCTCGGCTTCTGCAGCAGCTACTTCCCCAGTTTGTAAAATACGCCAACCTGCTGATTGGCTAGTCCTCGATTCCACGGAGGCTCATGACATCTGACTCAGCAGTCCAATCCACAAACTTCGGGGGCGGGGACAAAGGAAACAGTTATCCTACCGCTTTCTGACCAGGAAGAAAATGACTCGACTCAATCAGCCAATCCGAGGGCGGAGCGCAGCTGGGAGGCGGGGAAAGAGCTAGGAGGAGGCCGTTCTCCGGACGGGGTGGGCGTGGCGCTTCGAGGCTAGGCGACCACGGCAGCAATTGTGCTCTCGCGAGGTCTCGGGACTGGCGAGGGACCCACCAAAGGCAAGAAGGGGCGGTGGCTTTGTAGGGGGAGATGCGGCAGGAGGTGTTGGAGGCTGGCCCGAGCCCCCGACCCGATTCTGACCATAGTGCAGCGCCAAGCTTTGGGGACGCCATTTCAGACGCTCATAGAAGACAGCCCGTTGTTCCCGGGATGAGGAACTGCCTCCAAACAGGGAGGGGCCTGGAGGGGTTGACTGTGCCCAACAAGAACTTTGGCTCACTCGAAACTTGGCTCCATTTCATAGATAAGAAATAAGACTCATTGTTTTGAACTAAGTTAACACACAGCGCCAGAATTGAATGACGACTCACGTGTAATTTCCTTGCCTTCAGGTTGCCTATTGCAGGTCTACAGGACCGGGAGAGGGGCTCATCTGGTTTTTGTCAGGCAAGGGTGTGAGGCTGCGAGATCCTAGAAAATCCTGTTGAGAATGGAGGGGGTAACCCCTAATGGAGGACGGGAAATGGATGACGGTTTCGAGTTCACAGGATCCTGGTAGATTTTCCCTCCAACCACAGTGGTTCCCATTACAGAAGCCAGAAACCTGGGCGTTGATACTGAACTCCCTTCTCCCCACTTCCATCCATATCCCATCTTTCGTTCACTCGTAGTGATTTTACGTTTTCTTTTGAGTCGGAGTTTCACTTTGCCGTCTAGGCTGGAGTGATGTGGCATCCCCTCCCAACTAGCTGGGACTACAGATGGGCGCCACCATAGCCGGCTAAATTTTTCATTTTGGTAGAGATAAGGTCTTGCTATGCTGCCCAGGCTGGTCTCCAACTCCTGGGCTCTAGCAGTCCTCTTGCCTCGGCCCCTCAAAGTGCTGGGATTACAGGTATGAACAACCTCACCTGACCCTACATGATTTTAAGAAAGTCTACACAGTTTAGGTCTTGTCTTTGGCATCATGGACCTGGAAGCTTGAGTTTGTCAGGCTACTCAGAATAGATCATGGGACAGACACTAATCAAATTCATAAGAGGAGCTGAGTTACTTACCAATGAAAAAACTATTTATGCCTGCTCTTCAGGGCACCAGCATCATAGAATGAAGGTACAAGGGAGACACTGATTTTATATCAGAGGTCTTTTTATTTTTTATTTTTGGGTTAGACATCTTGTTCTGTTACCCTGGCCGGAGTGCAGTGGCATGCTCACAGCCACCGCAGCCTCGACCTGCTGGGCTCAGGTGATACTTCTGCCTCAGCCTTCCAAGTAGCTGAAACTACAGGCATGCACCACTACACCCGGCTATTTTTTTTTTATTTATTTTTTATTGTAGAGATGAGGTCTCACCAAGTTGCCCAGGTTGGTCTCGAACCTGTGAGCTCAGGCAATCCTCTCACCTAGGCCTCCCAAAGTGTTGGGATTATAGGCATGAGCCACCGCACCCGACCTTTTACTTCAGTGTACAAAAAAATGTCCGATATTATGTTAACAGTAACAGTGCTGGGGCAACTTTGACTTGTGGGAAACCATCTAAAGCTTCTCCAAATAATAAATTCTTGACCAGGCGCAGTGGCTCAAGCCTGTAATCCCAGCACTTTGGGAGGTTGAGGCAAGAGGATTGCCTGAGCTCAGGAGTTCGAGACCAGCCTGGGCAATTTGGTGAGACCTAATCTCTACAGTAAATCAAAAAATAAGCCAGGCATGATAGTGCATGCCTGTAGTTCCAGCTACTTGGATTCAAGACTGAGGCAGAAGGATCGCCGGAGCCCAGCAGGTCGACACTGGGGTGGCCGTGAGTGTGCCACTATACTCCAGCCTGGGTGACAGAGTGAGACTCCAACACA